GGGAACATGATTAACCCTGTTGTTTTGTGTTCATTTTCTAAAGGTCAAGGTCTGTTTTACAAAAAATATCTGATTTTATTCTTCTTTCATGATTACAGTAAGTAATCAGGTGCTACATTGTATCATAATCAGTCAACATGACATTTCTATCATTTAATTATACCCTTCACATTATATATTTTAGAATAACTTTGGTTTAGTTTCACAATTTTGTCCATTTGTCAACAGCCAAGAGTACCCATTTTGAAAACCTATTATATTATACTGTTAATCTCATGCATTGGTGGTCTTGCGTGTCCAGTTCTCGTGAAGCTTCATGGCAGAAAGCAACTGAGATGCTTGTGGATGTTGCTAGTCAAGGGGAAACGAGTGGCTATGAGATGCCTTGCCTTATCGTTGCCAATAAGGATGATCTTGATCCTTATTTGACTGAAATTCAAGATTCGACACGGGTATAAATCTTCCCCATTGAGCATGATTGAGGATCTCTTTAACAAAAAGTTTTTGCATTTATGAAATCTGACTGTTAGGATAACTCACAGTCAGCACGTTAGCAAAACTGAGTAAACAGTTTCTCTGTTTTCTCATTGATGGGGTGGGTTTGCAAGGGACTTGTAACACGATGTTTGATTTGGTTGTCAGCCCATTTCCATTATGCACAGTTAAGGAGTCTTCAGTGTTTAGCCAGTGGAATTTTTATATATGTGGACCTAGTATGATGGACCATGCACCATGAACTTCCTAGAGCGGAGTTGAAATTGCCGTTTTGCTAAATTGTTGCTTCTTAACTTCTTGCCAAATCTATGCTATTTAATAGGTAAGCCAGGACATGGGAATAGAGACTCCTATACCTGTCAGCGCGAAGCTAGGAGATTTCAGTAATTTATTTCAAAGGATTGCAAATGCAGCCATGAACCCTCATATGAGCATTCCTGAAACTGCCGCAGGGAAAAGCCGTAAGCAGTATCACAGGCTTGTCAATCGTTCCCTCTTGTTTGTATCAGGTACTTTGGTTACTGGCATTATATTATGTCCATTTGGATGTTGCATTATATTATGTCCATTTGGATGTT